AATTAACTGCTAGATTCAAAAATTTTCTGGAGATTCTCAGGATCATTGCCTTGCCCATCTTCTACATATAACTGTATGTCTTGACATTGTCATGTTTCCTAGCTCTTCTCCTTTTCCTCTTTGGATTAGTTAGTCCTCAAGATCCTGCTTTCCTTTTACTTGTATTATACCTTTCTATTTGTATTTCTTCTTTTGAGTTCTTATACTATGGAAACTATACGATATTTACATATGTGTTCAAGTGGCATCCACTTCAATATAAAGGCTTTGAGTTTATCATTCTTTATAGCTGAGTAATACTCCATTGTGTAAAACTACCACATCTTTTTCAACCATTCCTCAGGTGATGGGCATCTTGGTTGTTTCCAAGATTTGGCTATCACAAATTGTGCTGCTATAGGATTTAAATTTAAAGATAGAATCCAGATGTCTATTCCACTTTGGGACAGTTCTTAGAGATTGGGAAGTAGCATAGTTTATTCACTACCTTAACCCCAATACCTGGTAAAGAGCCCAGGGTAGGTGCCAAGCAAATGTACACTGGATGAGTAAGTGAACAAAATGAATATGGTAATTTTCCTTCCATTAATTTCTGAAATGATTGTGCAATAATGATAAAACACCCTAGGCTTCCTTCAGGCCATGTTTAACCCTCTCCTTGTCATTGTTTTAGGTCAGAGGCCTGGCTGTAAGTACTGGTATGACAAGGAGTGGTTGAGCAGAGGACATATGCATGGTCTAGCATTTCTGGAAGAGAACTACTCCCATCAGAATGCAAAGAAGATTGTGGCCACCCACCAGCTTCTTGGGGACGTGCAGCGAGTGATTGAGGTTCTGCATGGCTTACAGCTTAAGATGAGCATTTTGCAGTAAGTGTGTTACCTGTCAGCTTTTGTGAGGAGTCTGTTTGGCATCAATTGGAAGTAGGATAAATTTGAGAGGTCAAGAAACCACAAGGGCCCTAGGACCCAGGTTCAAACTAGGGCACAAGGGCTATCTAGTTGGATCCCTGTTCTGGCCCTGAAATCCTGGGAAGGCTGAGACAGGAGGATCACTATAGTCTGAACTGCATAAGAGAACCTGTATCAAATAAATAAATAAGTTGCATTTATCATTTGTTTTGGTGTGCAGTTTTGGGTTTTTTGCATATAGTTGTGCTAAAATATACATAGCCCAAAATTTGGTATTTAAGCTTTTTTTTTTTTTTTTTTTTTTTTGGCAGAACTGGGTATTGAACTCAGGCCCTTGCACTTAGCCAGGCAAATGCTTATTCTGCTGAGCCATCTCCGTGGCCCTTTAAGCTCTTTTTGTTTTGTTTTTAAAATGGTCTCATTTGGGGGCCGGGGAGATGGCTCAGTGGAATAAGCGCTTCCCTGGCAAGTGCAAGGGCCTGAGTTCAATCCCTGGTTCCGCAAAAAAAATAAAAAAATAAAAAAAAAAATAAAATGGTCTCATTAAATTACCCAGGATATGCTTGAACTCCTGGGCTGGATCCATCTTCTTCTGCAGCCTCCTCAGTAACTAGGACTATGGGAACATGTCATTGTGCCCAACTTTTCTTTGTGTGTGGGGTACTGGGGATTGAACCCAGAATTTGTCCCTCTGCTCCTCTTCCTCAGAAGGGTTTCACTATATAGTTCTGATTGGCTCTTTTTCTTTCTTTCTTCCTTTCTTTCTTTCTTTCTTTCTTTCTTTCTTTCTTTCTTTTTTTCTTTCTTTCTTTCTTTCTTTCTTTCTTTCTTTCTTTCTTTCTTTCTTTTTTTCTTTCTTTTTGTGGAACCAGGGATTGAGCTCAGTCCCTTGTATTTGCCAGCTGATTGGCTTTGAGCTGGCAGCCCAGGCTGGTCCCAGTCACACTGTTATCCTTCCAGTTTAGACTATTGAATGCTGGGAGTACAGGCATCGGCTGCCACACCCCGGCAGAATTTCTTTCTAAGGATGAATTGTGTTTCATTGTATGATCAAAGTTGAGAGCTATTAAAAGGGTGATTGTTGGCTGGCCTATTCTCTAGCATAGTAGTTGTTCCCATGTACAATACCTTCTCTTAGTGGTTTGCTCATATAGAAAAATTTTAGGCCTTTTATAATTGGCTTTTCTTCTTGTTTCTTGTCTCTGTCTCTCTCTCTCTCTGTCTCTCTGTCTCTCTGACTCTCTGTCTCTTTTGTGTTGGGACTAGGTATATCTTAGGCCTTCACATGGAGCTACATTCCAATCCCTTTTTTCTTTTGATAGTATTATTTTGAGTCAGTGTCTGCTAAGTCTGGATTTGAACTTATGATACTCCTGCCTCATCCTCTTAGAGCTGTGAGATATGTACCATCATCACATCTGGAGACTTCTAGCTTTTAGTAACTAGAAGTTTCAGAAGTGAAAATGAGTTTGAATTCCCTGGCATTCAAAATGTCAGGTGACTCAGTGTTTTTTAAATTTTTTAAAAAATCTATTATTTATTTGGTACAGGGTTTTACTATGCAGCTTGGACTTGCGGTGATCCTCCTGTTTTCATCCTCCCCAGTGTTGGGATTACAAGTGTGCACCACCATTCCACCTGGGGGCAGGGCTAGTGCTGCATGTGGTGCCGGGATCAAACCTGGTCCCTGCACTAGTGTAAGGAGGTGCTTAGTCTGCTAAGCTATCATGCCGGCCTTTCTCTTGTGTTTTATTCTTACTGGAGTTTTTTTTTTTTTTTTTTTTAAATAACATAATCTACTTTACCATAATCACAGTAACCAGTGCCTTGAGTAGTTTGCAGGGGTAGAGCCAGGACAAGATCCCAGATCCTGCCTTATACTTTTCTAATGGCCTCTGTTCATTGCTGTAGCATGACCATATACATTTTCTTCTGGTCTTAAGTATAGTCATTGGTAGGGACTACTCTTTTATAAAGATCTCTCCTTAAAGTTTTCCAAAGAGCCTTGTAACTTTGGAAGAGGTCATTTTTAGTTAAGTGATAACCAGTGACAGGTTAGTTTCCTGAGTGAGGTAGATTTGGTAGGGCACTCCTGAACAAGGTGTTCTTCATGCTGACTGGTCCTGGAGGCCTCCTTGTGCCAGAGCAATACAATGTTAGAGCCCTGAGATGGCAGGATGAAAGTCTGCTTTCTCCTATGTACTCTGGCACATATACAGGTCTGGCTTTAAATCCTGGCATGATGAGAAGGCTAAGTTAGGGATATTGAGCAAGGGTGTAGACTGATTTAGGTAAAAGCTAAAGTGCTATAGTAAAGTCCTGTCCTACTTGCAGTCTTGTTGCTGGGACAAAATATCTGATACCCACAATTTAAAGGAGGAGGGATTTATTTTGTTTCACAGTTTCAGCCCATAGTCATTTGGTTCCAAAGCAGGAATGGGATGGCAGAGGAGCATTATGAAGAAAAAGTGCTCAATCCATGACAGTGAGGAAGCAGAAAGTCAAGGAGAAAACTGAGGACCTTCCAGGTTATATTGCCCAGTGATCCACCTCTTCCAACCATTCCCCCCTCCTTACAGCACATTTAGCTCTCAATTCATCAGTGGGCTCATTATCCACTGATGAATATAGTGTTTTGATGATCCTGTCACATTCCCAAAGCTCCACCTCTGAATATATGAACCTTCTGGGGAGATACTCTAAACCATAACAGACCCCCCAAATAGAGGCTTACATGAAATGGCAGTTTCTTTCTCATATAATAAATGGTTCAGAGATAGGCAGAAGTCTAGGTTAGGATTCCATCCATGGACTTGGGAAATAGATTTCCTTCTATCTTACTACTTTGGCATTCTCCCAGTGGTAATTACCCTCATGTGAAATGCCTTCAGTTCTTTTTCTGCTCAGGATTACCTGCATTCACAAAGTTGAAGCAGTCAACTGCCTGCACCTCAGCTTTTTCCCTTGAAGAGAGAAAGAGAAGGAACAGGGCATGGAGGTTAGCCAGATGGCCACTGGACCTGCTCAAACTCAGGAGAGTGTGTGGATGAGTAATAGGAGGAGGAGACATTTAGGACAGTTCACAGGAATTTGCTGTTAATGAGATGCCAGAATTGAAGTCAGTGGAAGGTGGTCAGTGTGTGGGTCTAGAAGACCTCATCCTGGGTGATTCTATCAGATGATACTTGTTCTCTTCTCGCTGAAGTACCCGTTCCCTAGCAGTCCCATATTCTGGAACTGTGTTGTTTCTGAATCCTGGTTTAGATCCTTTATCTTAACTGGAAGTGACTTGATACAAAAATTGTAATTTCTAGCAATCCAGAACAGAGTATGGGGATAGCTATTAATCTTGGAAAAAAAGACCCCTGTACAGGGAAGTTTGGCTTTAGTATGTCTCTGTATGTGGGTAGTCTCTGCTTTCATGGGCTCTGGCTCTTCATTCTCAGGATGAATCACTTTTCAAACGATCTCAGGAGTTTGTTTTCAAAGACAATAAAATTGGGAGGAAATTTAGAGCATCTGTCATAAAAAAAAGTTAATATGGTAGCTGTGTGGTTAGTCTAGGAGGGCTTCTGCTAATACATTGACCCCCCTGTGCTGCAATACAGGTCCTATCAAAATGATTGACAGGACTCGCAAGGAAAGGAGAAGGTCTCACTGTTGTGAAGATGAATAGGTAAAACTCCGTATCTTAGCAAGAAGGGTAAAAATTGTAAGAACAAAGAAGCAGAAGGCTTACATAAAGAGCAGGTCTGTGTTATGGCTCATGTGCTCCATGTTAATGGATTTCAGATGACAGTGGACCTGGAAACTAACAATAACTCCCATTTTCCCTGTGCAGTTGTAATTTCAGAGGTGTGTTGAGGTTTTGGGTAGGTTCCTGGTACGGGGTCTGATACTTTGCTGCCTTGTGGCTCTGTGACTCAGGCTGCCTTGATGCCAATTGCTTTTCTGCTTCCCCAGTGGATAGGCATGGCATGAGATTGCAGAAGGCGAGAACTAAGAAGTACATAGTTGCAGGCCATTCAGACCAGAATTTTAGGTTTTGCAACATAGCTCCATGCCTTCATGTTTATAGTCAATTCCACTTCTTCAGGAAGATTTCAGGTAAGAGGCAAGGGGACAAGGGATCCCCAAATATGCTTTCAGTGTTTCTAAAGGTTGGAAAGGTTCTGTGGGAGTTCTGCTATGGAATCATTTGCTTTTGTATTGTTTTGAGACAGAGTCTCACTACGTAGTACAAGCAACCTTAAACTCCCTTATCAATCCTGAGCTGACCTGGAACTCACAGCAATCCTCCTACCTCAGACTCTCAAGTGCTAGGATTACAGGCATGCACCAGTGTGCCCACTGTGCATACCTATCTTAGAACAGTGATTGCTATTTTCTGTTCTTTTTTCAAAACTATTTTTATTCTTTTGGTACTGAAAATCAAACTCACAACCTCTTGCTTACTAGACAGATGCTTTGTTGCTGAGCCCTTTTTAAAAATTAATTTTTCTTAAGAGAATAAAAAGATTAAAAATGATACAGAATTTCAAAACAAGGTGATACCCTTCTATTTAAAAATTATTCGCACATATTTGCAGTACATTATGATTACATTCATCATGGGGAGTTGGTACATGTACATAACACATCTTTTTTTGTGTCTTTAACTCATTGATTATGATTCATTGAATTAATAATTGCCGAGGATATAGCTCAGTGGCACAATGTCTACCTTGCATGTGCAAGGTCCTGCATTACATTCCTGGTATATAAAAAAATTATAACAATAATAAGTTAATAACCCTAGATTGAGTTGAAACTCAAAAAGGAATGGTTCTCAGAAGAGTCTATGGCCCTACAATGGGTAAGCCTATTATTTATTTATTTTTATGTATTTAGTACAGGGTCTCACTACACAGCTCAGACTCGTTTTTCAGTCTCCCCAGCTCTGGAATTACAGGCATGCACTACCATGCCTGGTCTCAATGGCCAGTTCAGTGCGCCCAGGGGCAGGGCCAGTGTGGCATTTGGTGCCCAGAATCAAACCCCGGTCCCTGTGTTTGCCTAAGCAGGCATTTAGTTTGCAGAGCTATGTCACCGGCTCCCCCTTTCTTTTAATAATAAACATCTCTTTGAAATGGTGAAAATAGGAGATTTTTGAAAATTTTTTTACCAACTTTGACTATTTAGTCAAACTTTGACTATCCATGCATAGAAAAAAAAAATCCATACCTAGATGATATTGTGGGTAATTGAATGCTGTTACATAGCAGAATTACTGTGACTGTTAATCTTTTTTTTTTTTTTTTTTCAGACAGTGTCTCATGGTGTAGTTCAGGCTGGTCTTGGGTCTTACCTTTGTATCAGGGTGATCTCTCTATCTCAACCTCCAGAGTACTGTCATTGCAGGTGTGTGCCACCATGCCTGGCTTGTGACTATTTATTAAGGTCATTTTTTCTATAAGTTTTTTTTTAAATTTATGTAGTGCAGGGTCTAGAGAGTCTACAGGGTCTCACTGTGTATGTAGATCAGACTCGTAGTCTCACTGTGTATGTAGATCAGACTTGTAGTGATTCTGTTTTCAGCCTCTCAAGCGCTGGCATTACAGGTGCGCACCACCATGCCCAGTCGCCCAGTCTGAATTGCATCTTAGTTTGCCCTGGGGGCGGGGCTGGCACCAGCATGACACACTGGGATCAACCCCCACCACGCTCTGCCTAAGCATGCGCTTTAGTCTGCTGAACTATATGACCAGCTCTTTCCTAAGGTCATTTTTAGTAAACTATGTTTGAAGAGCACTTTACAACAAACTAAGTACTTCATTCAGATTAACTCACTTTTTAAAAAACTGACAGATGATTAGCCCAGTTTCCAGAGCAGTTTCCAGACAAGGAAGTTGAAACAAGATTGGATGTGACTTATACTGCCTATCTGCAGCTGAGGCCAGTCCTACTCACTGTTTATGTCTACAGTGGGAGCTCCTAGAAAGTTGGGGGATTTACATTTGGTCCTGCTTGGTCAGGGGTAGAGTGTGGTCAGATGGCACATGTGGGCACTAATCTCCTTGGATGAATATTTGGAAATTTATTTATTTATTTTTTTGGCGAACCGGGGATTGAACTCAGACCTTTGTGTTTGCCAGGCAAGTGCTTATTCTACTGAGCCATCTCCCCAGCCCTAACATTTGGGAATTGAGAAGCCCTGTAATGTTGCCAGTATTCCCAAAGCTCTCTCTCTGTTCTGCTTCCAACAGAAGCAGAGAGCATCCTGACCTGCAGTTGTGGTGCCAACCTTGGAAACAGCACTCAGGGGAAGGGAGAGCTCATTCCAAACATGTCCATGTCATGGATGCCAGGAGCAAGGAAGAAGCTCCCAGCTATAGAACTCTGAATGGGGCAGTGGAGAAGCCCCTGCCGCTGCCCCAGTCTGTGGAAGAGTCCTACATCACTAGTGAGCACTGCTATCAGAAGCCTCGGGCCTACTACCCTGCCATGGAACAGAAGTTGGTGGTAGAGACACGTGGCTCTGCCCTTGATGATGCAGTCAACTCACTCTGTGAGAATGATGATTCCCTCTCTCCTCGCCTGGGTTGGCCTCTGGACCAAGACAGGAGCAGAGGGGACAGCGACACCAAACCCAGTCCCCCAAAGGTATGTGACTTGCTTGTACTGATTCTTGGTGGTGTTTGAACACTTGTAAATTCCCTGCCTATGCCTAAATGATCTGTGGAAGATAAATTTTCTCATCATAGATGTTTTTAGTCTGTTACAATGTAATACTATCGGGAGAGCCCATGTAAGGCAAAGATCATTGGTTCCAGGAAATGACATAAAATGGGATAAGGAACAGAAAGGTGGGTGGGAGGAGCAGGGAGAGAGGATTGACTGAAACTTTAAAAAAATGAAACTAAGTTAAAATCTATCTTTTCTTTAATGCTAGTTACCTTACATTTGTATCTGGATGCTAATTATTACCATAGTCAATGAGTCAACTCTTGTTAGGCATATTTTCAATAAAATATTATATTTTCCTTTCAATTTTTAAACTTCTGTCATAAGAAGAGTCTCTTTCATCAAAGTATTTGCAGCTTTCAATAGTTTTCCAGAGAGTTATTCTCATTTGTTTGTTAATAATTTTCTTCTGGACCCCCCTATACCATATCATAATTAGCAGTGGTCACTAGTTTCATTGTGCCTATCCCTGTTTTTTTTTTTTTTTAGTGAGGCTATTGTATTTTCAGAGCTTCTCTGCACTTGACATGCTTTCAGAGATTTGATTCTGTGGGTTGGCATCACCAGAGTTAAAAACCTATGCCCTTGCCAGTGTCCAAACAGTATTGGGCAAAGGTGGTAAGCACACAGTCTATATTATTCTAAGTTTGGGCTCAGCCACTTTGTGATTCTGAGTGTGTTGCTTCACCTCCCTGATAAGACTCGTTTTCTCACCTTCACCTGTAGAATGAAGCTTGTAACATTGCCCTTCAGTTATTGTGGAATGTGTTTGCGAAAAGCTATCAGCATATTTCTTTGTATATACTAACCCCTAAATTAATCTTAGCTGAAATGTATTTTACTTCAAATGAAAGAATGAAGCCAGACATGGTGTACATCTCTTATTCCAGCTCACAGTGAGACTGAGGCAGGAGGACTACAAATTTATGCCCAGCCTGAACAATTTAGTGGCTTACCAAGACCCTGTCCCAAAATAAAAAAGGGCCAGAAATGTATAAAGGCCCTGTGTTTAATCCCTAGTTCTACAAACAAACTAATAATAAATGAAAAGTTGAGATCCCAAACTTCAGAAAAGGTTTACAGTCCTGTGGACTAGACAGGTTTCCTAGTGGTGTCTGGCACATAGAACAAAATCAGGAAATACTGAAATAGGGCAAGCAGAGCTAAAATCTTTTCTGTGTTGGTGAGATGACTCTAAACTGGCACTGTGTTTATTTTACATACCATACCCTATTTCATTCCCATGAACCTTCAGTGTGAGTTTTACTACGTCCATCTTCCCAGAGAAAGCATAGAGGCTCAGAGACAGGAAGGAACTCATCAGAGCCACATAGTTAGCAGGAGATGGAACCAAGACCCTCCAAACTCATGTGACTGCTGTGTTAAATCACATCCACACTAGTTTTTGCTAGTCAGCTGTCAGGAATGTGGGTGCATAGGGCATTGGGTACACATGCAGCCATTTGTGGGGTCTCTGCTAACTTGAGCAGGTGACACTGTGCAGTGGGAAGTTCCCATCCAGTCCTCAAATGAGAAGGAGCAAAGGGAGACGAGGATTTGGAGTATTCAGACCACAGCTGTTTTTTTCAGAGGGTTACAAACATGGATTGGTTGGAACAAGGGATGGAAACTCTTCCTATGCAGTAACTTAAATGTCATTATATTTCTAGGTGAGGGACTATGTCTCCAAAAAGGTCCTACCAGAGGAAGCCCCTGCTCAGAAGCTGCTAGACAGAGGTGGAGAGGGGTTGGTGAGCACCCAGCATCAGTGGCAGTTTAACCTGCTGACACATGTGGAATCTCTTCAGGATGAAGTCACACACAGGATGGACTCCATTGAAAAGGAACTGGATGGTAGGGCCCCTTCCTCAGTCCCCTGGATGTTTGTGTGTGCTCTGTCCCCTTTCTGCCTCTTGAACTGTTATCTGCTACCTTTGAAAATGGGGTTTATGTTGCCTAGGCTGACTTTAAATTTGTGGGCTCAAGTGATCCTTTTATTGAATAGCTATGACCATAAGTATGTGCCACCATACCTGGATTTCACACAGACACCCACCCACCCACCAGTCTGGCTATCCAGGGATAGCTATATTCTAACCTCTTGTTTTCAGCTTCACCCACCTCAATTCCCTGGCCAAGGAGGACAAGTCTATTTTTAGTATTTATTGGGCACTTAAGAGAGTCTGATGTTATTAGGGATTCATTCCCTTCTTCATAGATGAGTATGCTGGGCTGGGGCTGAAGTCAAGCTGTAAAACATGTGCTCAGAATGCAGGAATTGAATTTCCAAAACTACAAAAGCAAAGCAAAGTGATACATGTAAGAACAGCTGGACCCTATTTGCAGGAAACATAATCTGAGTAAGTCTTTACTAACAAAGTTCTTTAGGCTGGCCTTGAGCTCATCGTGTAGCCTAGGCTGGCCTCAGACATGCAGTGATCCTTTTTACCTCAGCCTCTTGAGTGGTAGAATTACAGCCGTGTGCTACCATACTTGGTTTCTTGTTTATTTTCTGATTGTTTTCAATTTAAAGATGGAACTCAGTTTAGGAATAAGTGTTTTGTTTGAGGATTCTGGGTATAGATGCTATGGTGACTGTAACTGAGGTTATAAAACATACATGAAGCTGAGCATGGTAGTGAACACATGTAATCCCAGCATCTGGGAGGCTGAGAAATTACAGAAAAATGCTATGTTACACAAGCTAGGGTCATGAGATATGGCCAGGATACCTATACAGCTGAGCCTCTACCAGGCAAGGAGAGTACTGGCAGGAAGCTTTCCTGAAACTCCTGGGACTGATGCTAGGCCTTGAAGGAATGATGGTGTTTTTTGAGGAAGAGGGAGTCAGGATAGATGAGAGGACTGGATCAATGGCTAAAGATGTAGGCATCTGTTGGTCTATCCCTGGGAGAAAATAGGGAGAGGATTGAGGTCAGGTGGTAGACCAAACCTGATAGGCAAATCCCTCCCTCCCCTCAAGAATAGTAAGGGCCTTTATACTTTTACAAAGTTGAAAGACACAAGGTTGCCTAGTGACTAATAGCCCACAATGTCCAGGCAGGATGCTTTTCTCAAGACTGAAGTAGCTTGACTCCTTTAGGCAATGAGGCCTCATCCTGCCCCCTCCCACAGATGATCAGTTTCAATTTTAGCAGCTCCCAACAAAAGAGAATTCCCTAGTGGAAGACTTGCGAGTGGGTGGGCTGGAGGTTGGGGGAAGAGACGCCATACAGACTATCTTTGGGCTTATAGCTCTTGACACAAGCCTGAGGTCATTTCTGAAAGGATGTTTCTGCTTCTCTTTTACTCCTAAAATGTTCCTTTGGACTCTTTGGAAGTATAACTGATGCCACTGTCTGGAAACCTGTAAGTGCATATTTTGAGAGAAGGGTAGAATTGGCTCTGGGTCCCTGAGAGGAGGCCTAACGCCATGGAAATAGGGTGAATATTCTGTTGTTGGCAAAGAATCTGTCCTTGGGGGTGAAGTCAGATCCTGTGCAAATCTTACCTCCATCTACCCCTGGACTCCCCAACTGGCTTTTGTGAGGTGATAGGCCTGGGCTTCTTCTAGCCTCCATAGTCTGGCAATTGGCATCCCACATATTCCTACATGTTTTAAATACTCCAAGCCCAGAGAAGTACCAAGGAAGGATGAAAATCAGTGAAATCGTTAAAAGCTTAAAAGACTTTATTTAGGCAAACAGACTGGTATACTGTTCTTAGATTTTTCAGAACCCCTTTTAGGGAATCAAATCTTCAGTTCATTTAAACGCTTCAAAGTGGCCAGGGATACAGCTCAGTGGTGTAGCATCTGCCAGGCAAGTACAAGGTCCTGAGTTTGATTCCCAGTAGCATGCTCCCCCACCTCCCACCCCGACCCAAACAAAACAAAACTTCAATTCAGTAGGACAGGCAGGTATTAATGAAATCATCCCAGTACTGATAATTAGAGCCTGTAATTCTAGCACTCATTAGGTTGAAGATCACTATGAGTTGAAGGCCCACCTGGAATACATAGTAAGACCCAATCCGCAAAACATTAGAAACCAGGGGGCCTGGCCCTAGCTCAGGCCTTTAAGTGGCTGCTTCCACAAAGCTGTCAGCCTCAGGTAGCTGGAGTTCGAACCTCACACCTCTTCAGCTGGCCAAAAGTGCCCTGAAGGCATTCGAGGAACAAAAAAAAAAAAAAAAAAAAAAAAACAAAAAACCAAAACATTAGAAACCATGGAAAGGGCTCAAAGCCATGTGTGATATCATTATACCAGTAACACAGGGTCCAGATTCAAGGTATAGATTTTGGGAAGGGATCCTTAAGAATAACACAGGGAACAAAGGACATAGATGATTGCAAAGAAGGTAGGGTTTGTGTGGAGGGTTGGGCTTTGGATGGCAGGTGGTAGGTTGCTTGAAGAATGTACACTGGGGACATCTTTTGATTGTTGAACTCCAGCATCCTAAATGTGCTTGTACAGGTTGGTGTGTGGACTAGAAAGGCTGTAGGCAGATGGACGAAGGACAGGCCCATTGGAGGGGCTGGCTCTTGTCAAAGTTAAAGGTTCTCAGATGGCCTCTCCACAAACATCAGAGCTTCAGGGGTTACTTTGGGGAAAGACAAGCTTTTTTATGGCCGGCCAGATACCTCAGAGGTTTACAGTGCCTGCTTATGCAGACGCAGGGACCCAGGGTTCAATCCCTGGCCTGCTGTGTTGCCTCACCCCTCAACCCCCTGTGCACTGAGATGGCGATTGAGACTGGGCATGGTAGAGTGCACCTGTAATCCCAGCACTTAGGAGGCTGAAAAACAGGAGGGTCACTACAAGTCCAATCTGTGTAGTGAGACCCTGTACACCCTGTACTAAATATAAAATAATAATAAAAAAACAAGCTTTTTATAGAGAAACTCATGTGCCCATAAGCAAGACAACTTTCCTGATATTGAACCAGTTATAATCAAGTATCTTAGTACTCCCTGGCCCCACTCATACATCTTATATTAAATATTTAAAGGGATGGATTGTGAATTTATCTCAGTTGTGGAATGCTTGTTAGCAATCCTGATATCCTGGGTTCCCATTCATGTCCCTCAATAGATTAAAGGATAAGAATTATGTATTAATCAGGAATCAGATCATTATGAAGCAAACCAAAAGTGTTGCTAAAACAGACCCCGCTAAGTCCCTGTAGATTTTCATTTTTCTTGCTAGGTGTGGTGGTACACAGCTGTAATCTCAGCACTCAGGAGGCTGAGGCAGGAGGATTACCTGGAATACATAGCAAGACCTTGTCTTTAAAAAAAAATTTTTTTTTCATTTTTCTTGATAGGCTAAAACACCAGGCTCTGTTTTCTAACATGGGAAAGCTTTAGAAAGAGTGGAGAGGCAATAACACTGAGAAAGGAGTGTGCTTCAAAGTCTTTTAGACTATACAGATATAATAGTAATTAACAGTGTGTGGCCATGTAAATAAAATTTGAAGTTCAGGTCCTCAGTTGTATTAGGCCATGTTTCAAGTGTTCGACAGCTGCATATGACCATTGCTGTACTGTGTTGGACAGCACAGATGCAGATCATTTTCATTATTACAGAATTCCTTTGATCTATGATGTGAAGTATTTGACTGTCCTTGAAGTAATGTTTTTGTAGGGTAAATGTTGAAACGTCTGAAATGGCCCTTCTTCCCTTTGTTCATCTGTGGTTAGGTGGAAGGAGGTGAAACTTGTAAGTCATGTATTATGAGCTCACTGGGTCTTTCTTTCTACCAACAGTGCTGGAGAGCTGGCTGGATTACACTGGGGAGCTGGAGCCCCCAGAGCCATTGGCCAGGCTTCCACAGCTCAAGCATTGCATCAAGCAGCTGCTGATGGACCTGGGCAAGGTTCAGCAGATTGCTCTCTGCTGCTCCACATGAAACTGGGCACCAAGGACTAATGGGGGTACAATCCTGGGGCACCAGAGGAAGAGCTTCACATATTTAAATAAACCTAGCATGCTGAATGCACGTGACACCGACTGACTTCAGGGATCTGGCTAGGAGTGTGATGAACATTGGACAAAGAGGCCATTTTGGCTGCTGGAGGGCAGGGCACTCTAATCTGGAATCTACCAAGAAGGTAGCAGATAGACTCTTGGGATTCCCTTCTTCCGTGCACATCACTGAATGAAGAGAGTCTTTTTGCACAAACTTCACTTGAAATCGTGCCACTGATGATGACAAATGGAATGAGAGCCAAAAGAGTTTAGTTGGAAACAGTTGTAAATTCAATCTTCAGTTTATTTAATTGACTTTGCTGTCAGGTTGGAGACATATGCCAACATTTCTTGTGTTGCCTGGCATGTTTAGACAGCAGGCACCGTTTTCATGGGAGTATTGGGACTTCACCATGCTGTGGAGGTTGGGAAGGAGCAGAGGCCTCAGCTGTCCTGCCTTTTCCTTAGGACGCTTCACTTTTCTCACATCTCTTGCATGACTTCATGGTACCAGGGATGAATTTGCTATGCTTTTCACCCAGAGCTGACAGGCTTGTGTTTTTTGCCAGAGTCCATACAGCCAGTGGAGAACTAGAATTCTACTGTAATCAGAGTCTAGGAGAAATTCCAAATGGAAGTAGGCAGGGTCTGGAACCCAAAGGACAGCATTTTCTACCCATTTCTTAATGTTGACAGCTTCCCAGTTCTATTTAAAGTCCAAAAAAATGTTTCCCAAAAGTTTGAATTCTTTCACTGTAACGATTTATTGCAAAGAATGTGGTTTGGGGAATTATTTTATTTTATATTGTCAACAAACTTCAGATTGTGTGCCGCTTTTCTCCTTCCCTGAAGGGTATGTTCACTAGTTGGCATTTTGAGAATTGTTAATATACTTAACACTTTGAAGTTCCTATTTGTATTACTTTGTGAGATCAAGGTGATTATGCTGCTTAAGGTCCAGGTACAACCTGTTTGTACCTTTTGAGACATTTATTTTTGCAGGTTACGGTTCCATGTATAATTGCTATGTTTTATTTTGTGTTCCCTTACTATACAAATTTAAAGAAAATGTCCCATGCTTTTAACCAGTTCACATTTTCTTATCACTAAAGGCAAAAGTCAAAGCATAGTTGTCTATTAACACTCACGAGTTAATTACGGGTTTATGAATCTAATGTTATTTGCTGCAAATATTATGTGAACATGAAGTAGCTAGTGTTTCTATAGCAATGATAGTATCTCCAGTGATCTTTAAAATGGTTAAGCTTTAAGGCACAGGGCATTGTGATCATGAATTCAGACCTCTGTACTAAGATGTTGCAAGAAGTGCTGTCCAGTGATTTGCCATTTGATATAAAATGAATTATAGGACACATTTGACCTGTGATGCTTATCCATCAGAGGAAATACATGCAGCTATAACATTTAGTGAAACTGACCCAATTCCTCTACTAGAGGCTGTTTGCCATTGCTAACATTGGTGTCTCTGGTATAGGAATACTCAAGTATGTATGGCATCGATCTATGCTCTAGATAATTTACGACAGCTACATCATAAGAAATGTGTGATGCTTTTCTGAAAAGGGAAAAAGCACAGGATGATTTTCTATACCCACAACTGTGAGGTATGATGACTATTTTATTGTTTTCTGAAATTACATTTGAGTGTCACATCTAGGGAAGTTGTAACTTTTAAGGCAATTAATTTCATATATTTAGGAGGAAAACAGAAACACCCTAATTTTGCCAAATGGTTCTTACTGGGTTTGTCATTTGGGTTTTACAAAGAAAATAATCCTGTTTGAATCATTTTGACTTTTGTTTTTAAGGAAGCAGGGAGACTCCCCAAGTTCTGATAACCTCAGTGTGTTTCCCTAATTTAAAGCCATGTTGAGGGGCTCCATTCCCAGTTTCTGGGTCAAGGTGAATTAACCCCAAGTTGGAGCACTGGAAACTGTTATTTGCAAAAATTGCTGATATCATTTAGAAATATGTGCACTACCTAAGTTTTTTGTTGAGAAAAACTATCCACCTATAAAAAATTGCCTTGACAAGAAGTTCTGGTTTGACTAATCATTTTGCTTAAAATAAGTAAGGAGTATGCAAGGTGGATCCCTGATGAGCCAACATTGCACTGTGGATACATATCTATGTTTATGTGCTATTAGAACAGAAGGTGCTGTATATAGAAATGTTGCTTTGAAGCAATATTTGCAAAATACACAGACTTCTGTATCTGTATTTGGAAAAAATAAAACAAGTTCTTTATGTCTTAGTCACATATTACTGAATTACAAAGTTTTTTTATCCTATTTTTGGAAAAAAATTTTTTTTGTCTGTGTATGAAAGTTCTCTTGTATAGCTTGGGCTAACCTCAAACTAGTGATTTTCCTATTTCAGCTTACCAAGGAATAAGATTGCAGGAATGACCAGCCTTCTTCCCAATTTTTAATAGGTACTAAATCTTATGTAGCCACCAAAAAAAAAAAAAAAAAAATT